GGGTGTGTGATGGTGGGGTTGGGGATCCCCTGCTCAGAGCAGGGCTCCGAGGTGTCCAAGTCACCCCACCAGCTAACCCAGCCCCTGTTTCCAGAGCCGAACATCGAGAGCCCCCTGAACACACACGCGGCCGAGCTCTGGAAGAACCAAGTCGGTGAGTGCCTGGGGCAGAACCTCCCTGCCTGCTCCCCACTGGGGTGGGCAGCAGCACAGCCCCCAACCCTGCTGTGTCCCACTGCCTCTCCAGCCCTGGCAGCTGCCTCAGGACCCTCATCACCATGTCCCCCCTCTCTCCTCAGCCTACAAGAAGTACGTGAGGGAGACGTACAACAAGCAGGCCAAGGGCCAGGAGACCTGACCATTGCCACCGCCCCCCACCATACCCTCCCCTGCCCGGTGCCCCCCACATTCTGTATCATAGGCTGTTTTTAAATTAATGTCGCAGTCCGAGCCACGGTTAATGTATAAATAAATGCACATTTATGACTTCTGCAGGGGGTTCTGCAAGTGTGGGCAGGGAGGGATACTGACCCCCATCAGGGGCTCTATCAACATTTAGAGGGCCTGGAGTGGTCCCATTCCCTCTGCAGGGTGGGGGCAGCCCCCAGCAATACCTGCATGGGCAGGGAGCTGGGGACTGTGGGGGTACATGGGGGCTCCCCTACCCTGCTCTGTGACAGGGGGTGCCAGCTTTGCTGCCTCCTGGCCTCCCCTTCAGAGCACCCCACAGCAGTGGCCAGTGCAGGGCCCTGCCCAAGCCCCCCTGGCTGCAGTGCCACCTATCCCCACTGGCTGTGTGGTCTCCGTGGCTTCCACCGTCCATGGCGGAATGTTGGCTCCACTCTCCATCTCTGACAATGTGGCCCTCACCTGCTCGATCTCTTCCTCTAAGCCCTGGGCAGCCGGGGGCTGCATGGAAACCACCCCTCGCCGGCCAGGCAGCCCCCAGCCCCCCAGCCCGGTGCGCAGTGGGGCCACGCCGCCCTCTTGCATGGAGAAGAGCTGGCAGAGGTAGTGGGCTCTGCGTAGATCCTGCAGGAAGAGCTCCAGAGCGGAGAGGAAGA